GGTGAGGAAGAATATACAAACCACATTTGAATTAAAATTTAATCAAACTATTATTAAAATCATTCATCCATTTTTGTGGAGTTAGACTCAATACCATGGATCCAATGATGTTAATAAAGTTTATGATAAAAAATTTAACCCAAGATTATCCAGAAAATAATCACAAAATAATATTGCACTTAATATATACATTAAAAAGGTTTTTTTAAAGTGTTTTAAAATAGAAATAAAAGAGAAAAATATCAACTATGTTCAAATTAATCAAGAAATAAAAAGTAAGACCATAAAAAAATCAGAAGTGAACTAAAATAATTTTATAAAATTTTTGGTAATTTTTCAAAGTCAGAAACTATTTTTAAAATTAAAAGAAATGAGTAAAATAAACCAAAAATGATTAAAAAAAAGCAAAATCAGAAGTAAAAAATAAATGAGGTCACCAATATTTGTCACATATCATTGGATCATTCCATAATTTTTTCAGAATCAAAAAATGCATAAAAGTATTTTTAAACATTTAAAACAATTCAAATAAAGTGAAAATTTATAAAAAAAAATCAAAACACAAAATAAAATTGTGAAAAAATAAAAATCAGAAAGAGAAAAATCAAACATATTTTTCATAATTTTTTCAGATTTTTTGGACTAAAATTGAATTTTCTATGATTTTTTGAAATTTAAAACAATTAAATATAAAAATCATAAAAGAAAAATAAAGTCAAAAATATGTGGACCATTGGATGAGAGCAAAACGCGTTAGTAATCAAATCCAAGAGATCTGGTGCGTTGTGCGTATCATGGTCATTAGTGAATAAAGCACTGAATCAAATGTAAATAAAAAATTCAAAAAATCCAAATGGCGTTGTTTCATTGGTTGAAGGATGACACGTTGGTCATCTTCAACCTCCAGTCAGTCCCAAAACGAGGTTGCTCAATCTGTAAAATTAGAGCACGAGACCTATGCCATTCGCTTTGTCTCTTCAAGACAAAGACAACCACACCTTCGCGATAAATTTATATAAACTGTAGCTCAAGCAATTTGGAATGAAAGTTTTGAAAAGGGATTTGAAATTTCATGGTCAAAACATGTTTCCAGATAAAAGTAAGTGTTGCGACTAGAACCAGGTCAATGAGAGCATCACAATGATATCAAAGTTTTGAAGAATTGATGAAGAAATCTACCTATTAAAGTTGAGTTGCATAGCTCTGAAACTGGACTTCTATGGAGCAATATAGGGCACGATTCTTGAATGTAATTATATGGTTAGCTTCAGAGAAGATCAAGGAAGGTAAATTGATAGAAAAATTGGATTGAAAAAGGCTTAAAAACAGATTTCGAAGTTGCAGAAATTTGAGTTATGGAACATGTTTGGCAGGGTGATTCTGGCTATCCTAGCTTGAGAAAATGAATGAGGGATGACCCTCTATTTATAGGGAATCAAATGGAATGTCCAAGCGTGTGAAAGGATGAAGTTTGGAGGGAAATCGTGTGAAGTTGCAAACAAGAAAAGTGTGACTTCTAATTTGATCAAAACTCATCCAAAACACGCGTTTTGTTGTGCTAATCACTTAGGGAAGTTCACTAAACATGTTTAGAGGCAAAAACGCGCAGAAACAAAGTGTTCAGAAGCTAAACCAATGATTTTAAATTCTGACTTTTGAAGAAACTTCAGTTCCAAGTTACTAAGTTCAAGTCAATGGCATTCTTACCTCAAGGGGTCTTAGGGCATGATTCTTGATGCTTTAGAAAGACGATGTTACAAGCTTTGAAATGGAAAAGGAATGAAATCAAATGGATGCTTGAGCTGAAAGTTGCATTGAGTCAAAGTTGGAGAAAAATGGTTGACTTTCCATACTTAGAAATATTTCAAAATTTTCTTCAAAAGCGACCTATAATATTTTGCATCCAAACATGGCCTTCCACTTGGAAGTTACTCTTGACCAAAAAAGATGGCATGAAATAGACCTTTTGAATGACATTTTGAAACTTTAACCATTCAAAATATCCAAAAATTGAGAGAGTTATGAATTGTTGAAGTTGGCAAAAAATCATGGAATGACCTATAATCTTTTGTATCCTTAGGGAACCTTCCATCCATTTTCTCACTTTTCATATAAAAGAAGGGATAAAGTTCACATCCTCAAGATCATTATGGAAAAAGAGTGGACTCAAGGTGATAAAAATTTACCAAGTTATGATCATTTGAAGTCAAATATGAGAAATTGGGGGTTCATCTGGAGGACTTGTAATCTTTCTTCATCATCAAGTTTCTTCTACATGAAAACTCCTTGAAACTTTTGAAGTGATTTTTTAATAACCTTTTGAAGAGAAGGATGTATTTGGAATCACTCAAAAATACCAAAATATGAGAAAGATATACTTCTTTGAAGTTCAAAACCCTAGCTCCTAGATCAAGAAAATGCTTTGAGGAACTTTGCCAATTTTGAACCACCTTCTTGTACCAACACTCTTGCTTTGTAAATAGAAGTTATTAAGGATGAAAATGAGAACTCATAGCCATCAAAACCACTTCCATATCTTGAGAATTGAGAGAAATATGCACTTGTGATCAATAGGAACAAGACCTTGTCCAACCATGACAACTTCTTCAATCAATCCCTTGCACTTTTGAATCAATCTTGATAATTTGGAAATATAGTGAACCAAAATAACCTTGCCATGCCATCCCATCCAAAACAACTTACATGGCGAGGTTTAGACTTCTCAAGCTTTATTGACTAGGGCATGGAAATAAACTCATGAACCTATAGAGCAACTTGCTAAGCCTCATTACCTTTACCTACATTATTAACAAGTGAGACAAACCAACATTTCATTTTATTAACTAAAATAAAAATCAAGATAAAATATTCATGATCACAAAAGAAAACAAGTCAAGGTGCTTGGTGATTCCTCAAAGAGCAAAGCTAAATATAGGGGGGAACCAAAAGCCCTAATGTGATCTTGTTGTGATTGAATCAACATGGTATGATGAAGGGATCTTAGGGGGAAAATTGGGGTACAACAGCGACACATACCATCTTAAAGTCTTTGATAAAACCCCAACTGTGGGGCCGAAGTTGTGAAGGAGCCACGTTCATCGTCCTCAGAACATTAACCTCAAAATTGGTAAAAGGGATACGAATAAACACATCCTCCAGCACACCAACGTAAAAGTAAAAGTACTCGTCTTTTACCCCCTTAGGCCGGGACATACAAACCCTTTCACCAGGCCTACAAGCTTCCAGAACAACATCATCCTCATTCCTAATCGAGAACACCCTTTATAGAGAGCGAAGCTTCACTATCTCCACCTCATCCATGGAACTCTTATCATAACCCATCATCATGTCACTAAAAAAGACAGGGTTTTCCATCAAAATATCTACAAAACCTTACGAAGAAGATTCGATGTCAAAATGACTTTCAGAAGTAAGAACCTCACTATAAACTTTACTCATAACTCGAGCGTATTCATTTACACCTAAAGCAGTTTGCATCTCTCGCATGCACTCATCCCACAAAACTCTCCGCTCCTCATCACTTTTGTGTATTTTATTTCCGAAACTATCACACTCTCTTATAGTCACCATCCCTTAAAGAAAACTAAAGAATGTACTGAAAAGAAGTAAAGAGCAGGGAAGAGAAGAAATACCTGGAAAGCGATTAAATGTCTGGGGAAATTGAACGAAAGAGATGGAGAGCGCTTGCAAAGGAAATAGAGGATTGATAGGAGTAACAAAAGGAAATGGCTTAAAAGAGGGATGAAATCATGGAGGGAAACGATTGGGGCAGATGATGCGTGTTTAAAATTTAAAAACTGACCTAGTAATGATTATGCCTAGAGACTAGGCGATTGCTGGGAAGCTAGGGCGTGGACGTCACGCGCACCGGGAACGAACCCGACATTGGGCAAAAATTGGCCGATCACAAACCTGTTACGAGAGCTCAGACAAGTCAAAAGGATCAATATTTATGTTGACCGAACACAGGATTTCAAATGAAATCATATGTTCATGGGGCTTATGTTTATACATAGATCCATCTGACCCAGCTAGGAAAGATAAAGAAAGCAAATGGATAAATAAATATTCAGTCGGACAATGCATTAGGTCGAGGTCCTCACGGGCGAGCCGAGTAGCATGGCCGGGAAGGAGACTTGATCGACCGTATAGGAAGTCAAAAGGACACCAGACGAGCTTACACGTCAGATACTACCTTGGGATCCAGACGTTACGAAGAGCCTGGCCTCGACAAGGACGTTACAGAGTGGTCGGTCCTTTAAGAGTGTAATCGTTCATCAATATGCGATGACACATGTTACTATAATTGCTATCATTGGCAACAACAGACGTTTCTTGCCTTAATGCTAATTTAGTTACGTAAGATGAAGGGTCACAACAGTTACATGCAATGATCAATGAGGTCCATGCACCTCCATATATATAGGACTCCCGACAGAGGGGTAAACAATACACATGGCTTGGAGTTTATGCTCATCAGTATAAACCTCTGAATCCTTAAAATATCTCAGATAATACATTTGTCCATTAGAGACCTTCCCTAGAGTCTTTAATTTAACAGGAAAATCGCCATTTAGTGTTTAGCAAGAACAATAAGTGTCTCATACTCCTATGGAACAACGTTACTAAGACGATTTTTCGTTTGTTTTTGACATAAGAGAGATCTTTGTATTGACAAAATAACCGTAGAGTTTATGTTTTAAGATCACACCTTTAACTTCTCGATTCTAATTGTATATATAATATAGTGTACATTATAAATGAGACTTAGAAGTTAGTTGAGGTCAAACAAACTTCTAACCGCCAAACCTAACTTCTAACGATCAATTTAGAATGAGAAGTAAACTCAAACAATACTTTAGGTTAATGAATTCTACAAATAATACTTTTAGGTGAGTCAAGTAAACTCAAAAGATAGTGAAAACTCAAAGAGTAAGATTTTTTTTTGATTTGAGAGCCATTTTTTGAATCGATTCGAAATGGAAAGTGAAAAAGATAACTCATTCTGCAAACAAATCCCCGATCTCTTTTCTTCCTTCGTCGACACTTTCGTTGACTTTTCAGTCAGCGGCCTCTTCCTCCTCCCACCGCCGTCATCTCCGCCGCCTCCGCCTCCCACTCGTCTCCCCTCCCCGCAACGTCTCATCGCCATCGGCGACCTCCACGGCGACCTCAAGAAATCCAAAGAAGCTCTCCGCATCGCCGGCCTCATCGACGCATCCGACCGCTACACCGGCGGCTCAGCCACTGTGATCCAAGTCGGCGACATCATGGACCGCGGCGGCGACGAGATCAAAGTCATTTACCTGATGGAAAAACTGAAACGCGAAGCGGCGCGTTACGGCGGGAGAATCGTTACCATGAATGGTAACCACGAGATCATGAACGTGGAAGGTGATTTCCGGTTCGCGACGAGAAGCGGTGTTAAAGAGTTTAGGGTTTGGTTGTATTGGTTCCGTGAAGGTAACAAAATGAAGAGCCTCTGCAAGCGTTTGGAGCCGGTTAAAGATCCGTTAGACGGTGTTCGCGTCACGTTTCGTGGCGTGAGGAAGAAGTATCACGACGGGTTTAGGGCTAGGGTTGCGGCGTTGAGGCCGAACGGTCCGATTTCGAGAAGATTCTTTTCGCAGAATGTTACTGTTTTGGTTGTTGGAGATTCGATTTTTGTTCATGGTGGTTTGTTGCAAGAGCATGTTGATTATGGTTTGGAGAAGATTAATAGGGAAGTTAGTGATTGGTTTAAGGGTTTGTATGGTCGGTTTTCGCCACAGCATTGCCGTGGGAAGAATGCAGTTGTTTGGTTAAGGAAATTCTCGGATGGGAATTGCGATTGTTCGAGTCTTGAGCATGTTTTGTCGACGGTTCCGGGTGTTAAGAGGATGATTATGGGGCATACGATTCAGACGGGAGGGATTAACGGTGTTTGTGGAAACAAGGCTATTCGAATCGATGTTGGTATGTCGAAAGGGTGTGGTGGTGGTTTGCCTGAGGTTTTGGAGATTGATAGGATTGCAGGGGTTAGGATATTGACATCGAATACTTTGTATCAGGGTATTCAAGAAAATGTTGATGTTATGATGGAGGAAGAAGGGCTTGGGATGTTGGTTAATAAGCAACATGATAGACCTAGGCAAGTGGAAGTGAAGGCTTAAAGTCTTTGTTTAGTTGTAGGAATCGAATTAGATATTCTAGGGTTTACGACATTTCAGACACGGTGGCAATGCGCACCAACCATTTGTACTAGATATGGGGCTTCAAGGCTTTGAACTAATGTGTTAGTTTCAACTTTGTAATTGTTTAGATTTTAAAGGCGAATGATGCAATAAAGGTTTCTCATTTTTGTGCATGGACATGGAATTGGAGGTATCTGTTTTCCTTTACCTTATTGTTTAGGGTTTAGTGATCGGGATTTGGAGCTGCTTATTTCCAATCTAACTTATCTGATTGTTTGTTAAGTTGATAGTTAACATCGTCATTGATCTTTGACTTATCTGGCATTTGTAATTGAGCATGAAAACATAAACTTGTTTTATAGAGAAGTCCTTTGCCTAAGAATAGACGTAACACGTCACTTTTAGACAAAGCAAATAGAAATATGGCTTGTTATCATAACTGAAAGAAACTTTTAAAATAATGAAAGATAGAAGCATATCCATTTCCTGAGAAAATTTCCAGGTCAACCATGGTTTTCACTTTTAAAATAATGAAAAATAGAAGCATATCAGTTTTGCCAAGGTGGATCTACAAAATCTGCATTCTGCATCGTCTCTTTTCCCTCAATTTCATTGCTTGCTCAATATATTGGCAGCAACTGAGGCACTTTTGTTGATGGCAGAGGATATGCTCTCCTCTCCAAATTTTTGATAGTGTGAGTTTGTCAATAGTGGCCAAAAGTTGCCTAGTCGATATGTTGGCCGAAGGTGGCTCTGTGATAGTGAGGTTAAAATCTTGGGAGCTCATTACAAGCAAGAACTAAGTCTCTGGATCCATATGGGACTGTTATTTTTATCCAGCATCCTCTCTTGGTCTATTCATAGTAGAAATGCAGTATTATAGTTTATATTTGTTTATTTTTATGCCAAAAAGAGAAAAGTTTAGGAAGGAAAATGTCAGGCTAGAAATTAAACTTAGGGAAAATTTCAGAGACAACTTTCAGAAAGCTTTGAATGCTCTTGTTCCTGCTGCTGAATTGGCAAAAAGGTTTGGTGCTGAGCAAGGCTGCTGAAAAAAGCGACATATTCTAGTTGGTGAAAATGATCATTCAAAGTCAATACATTCCCGTGATACTGTTCAGTTTTAGCAAGAGAGAGTGTGAATTTCTTGCGATTCAGGTAAGTTCTAATCGATGTTCATTTTTAAGAGTACTTTTCAATTTTCTCTTGTCGGTTCTATCACACCTACAATTTAAGAAAATTTTCAATTTTCTCTTGTCAGTTCTATCACACCTACAATTTAAGAAAACAAGGATTCCTTAGAACTAATTCTCTTCTGGTTTATTCGTTGAATTTGCGGATCTAGATTCAGTATAATGCTTCTCTTTTATCAATACTGGATTACATTTTGATGAAGGTGTCATGTCATGTAAAAGAAAGGCTCTGAAGAAGGTGAAAATTCCAATAAGCATTATGAGCAATGAGCTGTATAAACATGAGTCTGTAGAAGAGGTTTTAGTCCAGAAAAGCCTTTAAAGAATATTCCTTCCTTCCAAAACATGATATTTCATGAGAACCATCAACTGTAATTACAGAAGATGAAGCATATACCTGAGAAATCAACCTCCTGGGATTATTAGTAAGAGTCGCTAGAATCTCTAATAGGATCCCAAAATGTTGTTTAGTTTATAAACCTTGCAGTAGTATAAGTTAAGAGATGCCGCTGCGATCTTACTTCTTTACATATACATTATAATATTATGATATACAAAATAGGGGTTTCCTAGTTCTCTTTTGTTCAGTAATTTTGTTCTTAACTATTGGCATATATACCTGTATCACTATTGTATTGGCATACAGACAAAATCAAGCGATTTGTTAATTTTGTCCTTACATTTGGCTTTTTGTTACGTATACGATTCCTCGCATTTCAGTGCCTTTTGTTTACGTTACAACATGACTTTGAACTAAACACGCTGGGAAGATGGTGATCTGGAAAATTTACTCTCTAATTTCTTTTTTCAGTTCCAAGCTGATTGTGCCCGTTTCAGATTTTGAGGTTTGTTTAAATTCATTGGCTTGTGATTTTTACTTACTTTTGTACATTGATTTTGACTTGGTGTGAATTTCTGGAGCATCTTGCTCTCGAAGAGGGAATCATCCTTCGATACTGTACTGCTTACTGAGCATGTTCTCCTTTTCCCTGTAGTTATGATTTTTAACCCCCTAATAAACGGTATTACACTACATTTTAGTTCATAAATGTTCTTTTATGTCGCTCTTCAAAATAATCATGATATGAAGATGGGTCCTAACAGGTTTTGGTTTTTTTCACCTGTTGTTATCACTTAAGAGCACATGCACTTAAGAGCTTGACGGGCTCATCATTGGACATGTCAAAAAGTGCATCCAAATGGATCGTTCTGTATACCGTCAGCAATATTAACTAATATTTGAATGGTTAAGATTGGAGCAGGACCAAAACATAAGAGAGGGTGCAGGAGAGATCCATTTTCCATTTTCATATAATCCAAGCACACCTTATTTATCAATAATTAGTTTTTGTTACATCCCTAAGAAAGAAATCTAAGGTACACTGTTTTTCTCAGACCAAACTTGAGATGTTGCTTCAATCATTTGCTTCTCAGAAATGCCAGCATTGCACATGTTATCAAAGGCTAGCGTGTATTTCATTCCGTATGTTGATAAAAATCCACAATGATGCTCATAAGTGTTTTTCTGCATAAAATACATTCAGTTACCATGTATGACACCAACCACCTCCATATATGCTAAAAAATGTGCGCGCATATTATTATTCTTACCATCATTTCAAGGCAATTCCAATCATCAACATCAGCTTGACTATGTAAACGATCACACTCATAAGAGTAGAGCTTGTTTCATCTCCAAGCAAAAGATTCCATATGCGATACATATTGTAGTCATCATCACTTCTATCCGCAATTTCAGCATCTACTAACTTCTTTTCGGAACCAGCTGACGCACTTTGCAACTAAAATAAATTTCATGTTCAAATTTAATGAACCAATTAGGGAAAAAAACGTTAATACTATTGTTCTGGACTGGGCCCGACAGACCCAATAGCATTGATAAGGTCCAATCCAAACGGACTTGCTGAAGGCCACGCCGACCAAAGGGTCACAGTCGTGCCCGACGTGCTCCCTGAGACTACTTGCTCGACCTCCTGCTGTCCAGCTCGACATCACCTCGAGCACCCCTCCTAGGGCAGACCCAATCCACTGCACTCTCAACGGGACTCCGAAAAGACCGCGTCTCTGTCCGTCCGTGCTTCACGCAGAACATCCAGGGAGGGGACCACGTGCGGGTCCCCACTACACACGTAGAACCTGGAAGTTCCTCCATTGGGCCAAATCTGCCCGGCCCAATGAAGGAACCTTGGCCCAGCGCCGGGGGCTATAAATACCCTCTGTTTTTAGAGGGTCAGGTATTCATCATTCTACCCATACTATTACTATTGCCTGCTCGTGCTCTTACTCACTTCAGCATCGGAGTGTCTTGCAGGTACCCCCCACCTCGTTCAAAACTTTCAGCTCGGAGCCAGCCATGACGGTCCAAGTCTGATCAGGTTAGATCAGTGGCGCCGTCTGTGGGAAACTAGCTTCCCCGTCTTACAAATAACTCAAAAGACCAAAGCTCATATTCAACTACCTGTCATGGCTGATCCAGCTCGCGATGAGCAGAACATCCGTGTCGCCGACACGAATAACGGCACGACGGACAAAAATGGACATCTCGACAACGCCGACAACCCCGGCCACAACTCCATTCCTGCAACAACCGCCCCCGGAGCTTCCTCCTACAGGGACGGGGCTACCGCATCATCCTCCCCGCTCCCACCGCCACTCGAGGACGACCCGACGGCTCTCGCCCACTACAGAGTCGCCCGGTTCCAGGAAGTCCCCGTCCCCTCCGGGGCGGATGCCACAACACAAGCGCTGTTCGCAGCAATTAATCAAACGAACTATCTCATCTTCGCCCAAGGAGAGAGATTAAAGGCGCTTGAAGACGAGCGAAGACCCCCGAGGAGACATCGGAGACCACATACTCCCCCTTCTCGAGTGACTCAAGCTCGACACCCTTCTCCCTCGCGGAGACACTACAGGGAGACCTCTCGAAGCCCATCTCCCCGACCAAAATAGAGACGGCCTTACCTGGAGAGGCAACCCATCATTCAGGCCGGAGAGCCCAGTCACGACCCGGTGGTACTGGAAAGAAGGCACTCCGGAGATAGGCACGTGAAATTCAACAGCCGAGCATCCCGCTCGAGAGAAACTCAGCACGACCACGACCGTCGTGCCAGACAATACTACAGATCCCCATCTCTGTCTCCGGAGAGGAGCGAAGAGGACGACCCCCGCGGTCCCCTATCGCAGGCCATCATGGATGCACCCATCCCCCCGGGCATGGAGAAGCCCCCACATCTGAAGGAGTACGATGGAGTCGCGGACCCGGTCGACCACATTGACGGGTTCGAGGCTATGCTCCATTATCATAATGTCGGGGGGCCCATCAAGTGCCGTTTTTTCCCCACGACTCTCAGGAAGGCGGCCATGGACTGGTACAAAGGCCTTTCCCCGGGCTCAATCACCTCGTGGCGGAACCTGAAGAACCAGTTCATCAGTTCCTTCACCGCTTCTCGACGCCATCCAAAGACCGAGGCAGCGCTCGAGGCCATCATCCAAAGACAGGATGAGACCTTGAGGGAGTTTATCAACCGCTTCAACCGAGAAGCGATACAGGTCCCCTGCACGGACCACATGAAGAGATATCTGCTGGAGAGGGGGCTCCTCCCCGGCACAGAGTTCAAAAAAGCCGTGGATATTGAGCCGCCCAGGACTTTCGACGCCCTCCTCGAAAAAGCTCGGGCATACATGGATTACGAGGAGAGGGAAGCGGCCAACAGGGCCTGAGACTCCAGGGCTCGGGGTCCCAACAACAGCAGCAGCTCGCGCCAA